GGTTAATCTGCAAAATAATCCCTGTCTTGTATAAAAACATCTCCCCTGGCACTTGTACTAGCTGATTTTTAAAGTATCTAGATGCCTTGGCACCCAGTGCCCCTGTCTTGGCGCCGGGGTGTCCGGATACTTTTGAAATCGGCTAGTACAGTACAGGTGGATGTTTGAGTGCGCCGGCATGACTCGAAGCAAAAGCGTGGAGATTAGGGTGGATATTACAGATACAAGGGTGGCATCCATTAACCGGAACAGTCAGGATATATTTAGCTGGTTAACCTCCAGTAACCGTTCCATAACTTCTTGCCTGACCATGTATCATAATATCATGGCCAGAAATTTCAAAGTCAAGGGTTATTTTTTTATTTTTTTTGGAAAGAGAGGGTGGACGCTTACCGTACTCTCAAAGTGCCCTTCAGTATTTTAAGCTCTTTTTAGCGCGCCGCAGTGTAAAAGGAACACGGCTTTTTTCGTGGATTCGGCTTTTTTTGCCAATACCCGGATCCATCTCGACCAAAAAAAAAGCTGCGTCCACATGGCGGCTGCCTTCCTGACCGTTGTGGCGAAAACAGGGATCTGGTTACTGTTGGGTAGGAGATCCCGCGGGTCGAGCGAGCTATACCGTACTCGAGGAGCCGGGAAAAGTGCAATGTCAGAATGGTAGAATTCGGGGAAAACTCCATTTTTATCGCCTGGGAAACAATCTTGGTATTTTCTTCTTCTTTTCTTCCCGACTCGTAAATAGTTTCTTTTTCCTTTGGTGTATGGATTCTGTTGGTCGGAAATCTGTACTCAGTACTAGTACGGTACTCGTACTCGACTACCGTGGCTGTTACCGACCCTTTTTCCTTCTCTTTTTCCACCCGCCGTCCGTCCTGACTTGGGGAGGAGAGTGTCGTGCGGTAAAGCAAAGCGATGGCAAGTGAATCGCTTCCGTGTGTGCCAAGCTTGCCAGAAACAGCAAGGTATCATACGAGGACCTAAGGCTTTTTTTCTTTTCTTTTCCCGTGATACTTGTGTATTTTTGGTTTTGAACACCCCTACCGTATGATACGCTCCCCCGTACGTGTGATGGGATATCACAGCTATGGGAATTTCACGGGTACCGGTAGGCTGCTACTGGGATGGGTCGCAACGCTGCGGTACCGGTACTTGTACTCGTATCATACTAGTACTGGCACTGTATTCGTATTCGTAGACACCCACCCAGCCAGACCGAACAAACAACCTTTCCAAAATATCTTGTTATGCCACGATTACAGCGAGAAGCTATCGTCCGGATCCTGACGCACTGTATGATGCCTCATTAGCCTTCCTGGCGTCTCTGCACAACCGCAAACAACAGCACAGTGGTACGACGACGGTGAAACGCAGGCTTCCCCCCCCGTGATGAAGCAAACTGCGCAGACAATTACTATCATTATTATTATTATCGCCATCATCACCATAATATGCCGCATACAAGTACACTCCCGCTAGGAAGGTTACGACGGTGATGTGCAGCACTCTGCTGCAGCCCTACTCTGTCCTACCTCAGAGGGTGGCCGATAGTGTGGTGGCGATGGTGAGATCTAAGGGGCGGGGTTGATATGTAACTTAGCGTCGTACCAAGGTCTGGAAGGCGACAATACCATAGTAGAGTACCGTATTCATCACTGTATCATAACATGTCGCCTTTTTATTCCGGGGGGGCGTGAGCAACAGGCAACAGAAACATGCACGTTGAGTGCCATGATGATGATGGCTAGTACGAGGTTAATGAGGTTTCAATGATATTTTTTACTTTTTTCGCTATCTTCATCTCGCGTTATGAGAAGTGGGTAAGGCAAAATGACGCGGGCCTAAAATAGAAAATATAGAGAAAAAGGAAAGGAAAGGAAAGGAAAGGGAAGGAAGGGAAGGGAAGGGAAAAGAGAGTGAGGAAAAAAAAAAAGGAATAACCCTGTTTGTGGAATTCGAATTCAAACACCTAATAATGTAATGCCTAGCGGACTCTTGATTTGGGGATGGAAAAGAAATTTGTGGAGCAAACGGAAAAAAGGAAAAATATAGAAAGGGAAAAAAAGAAAGAAAAAAAAAGGAAAGGAGAGGGGAATGGGAGAGAGACAGAGAGAGAGAGAGAGAGAGAGGAGGAGAGAGGAGGAGTGG